CTTCTCTCTTCCCATCTCTTCCCCTCCATTTCTTCTTCTCTCCTCTCGACCGGGAATACGGACAGTCTACTGCACATTTGCAAGTGAATTACTCTTTTTTTTATTTCTGTGTGTATAAAAACTGAGAAGAGGAGAGGGAGAGGGTGCTCCTGCCATTGCTATTTTCTTTTCTTCCCTCTGTAGTCCTGAGGAGGATAAACTGTGAGGTACACAGAGAGGAAGTGCCACAGACCTGCTGGGGTCCAGCACATCCCAGCAGTGCATTCCTGCAGCCCCCCGACCATCAGACACACACATATAGACAGCGACAGACTGAACCCGTGGCATGCAGGCATGGCTGCTGTTTGTCAAAGTCACACGAGGAAGTGGACACAGATAAAAGTGAGCATTAGAATGAAAAAAACGAGCTTCAGTCACTATTTTATGAAAGGGAAAATCACGTGAGCGAGAGAACGTTCACTGGATCTGCATGTCGTTGTAAGAAACTTCAACTCGTGAAGCAAAACAAAGTGCCAAACACACTCTGTTTATCTGTATTTATATCTGAATGCTAAACATTCTCAGAGTGAGGCGGCAGGTGATTAATACAGAGTAAGAAAAGTGTTTTAATGCACTGTTTTACACACACACACACACACACACACACACACACACACACACACACACACACACACACACACACACACACACACACACACACACACACACACACACACACACACACACACGTAACTTATTCAAAAATGTTGAAATGCTCTGAAAAATCACCTGACCACGTTGTCACATGACACCTACTAAACCAAATTATGTTTCTTCAGAATTCCTAATTTTAATCAATTATCAAATTATTTTAGAAAAACTGTTTGCATCTAAGCTCTGACTGTAATTGGCTGAGTGGTGTTTTATTTTTAAATTAAAAACAGGAAATGACATTTCTAAAACAGGTGATGAGGAATCAGAATGGTGCAGCTGAGGCGCTGTCAATATGTTAAAGCTGTCACTCTCTGACCCCCCCCCCCCCCCCCCCCCCCTCCCAAACACCCATGCGCGGACTCACACACACTTACATTTTGACAACACAATGGAGATTTCACAGACACAGATAAACAATGCGAGGGCAGTTATCACTCGGCGGAGCACAGTAACATAGAGGAAGAGGAAGACCACGACAAAGAAATAGGCGAGGACAAAAAAGATGGCGTGTGTGTCGTCAGAGTCACAGGCCAGAGGGGCCCGAGTATTGTTTAGCGGCTCAGCGTAGGGAGAAAAAGGCGACCCCGGCCGCCTCTTTCTAAGCGTCCTCCATGTTTTATGCATTCTGTCCTTTGTGATGATAAGCGCCAGCGCGGAGGGTGGAATGTTGGCCTCCAGGGTCCAGAAGAAGGGTGGGCTTATGAGGAGCAGCGGGGGGGTGCAGCTCGGTTTCATTTCGCAGCCCTTGGAGTGCTCACTGTCATCCCTGCATCACTCGTGTGTAAGCATGCAGAGCCCTCACACACACGAAAACACAGTAGTTCTTCCATTCTGGAACACGAGAGCTAGCTGCTGCTTTAGATAGAGTACAGTCAGCACCCTCCTCCAACAGAAAACACACACACACACACACTTCTACAGCACTGGCAGGCCTGGACTGCCGTGCATCACTCTAGCTCCCCAGAAACACAACAGATTTAATCACTGTTGCAGCATCTTACAAAAAGCTTTGTTTGCTACCAAAATGATGCATTCAATTATTTTCAAATACACTCAAAGATTCCACTCAAGGACACACACGCGCGGTGAACCACGCCTCCACGGACTCATTGTTAGAAATAAAATCATTTGTAGAAATGTGCTTCAAACATTACGTAAGGTCATTTCTACGTCAGCTCTGCAACAAGCACAACTGTGGGTGAGGAAAAAAAAACAGAAATTATTTTTCTCTGTTTTTATTTAACAGTTATATTTGCTCGAAATAAAATAAAAATCTAAACTGCAACATAACAAGATCTTAATGCTGCACATTCAGAGGAAATTAGAATTTTAGAACGCCTGAATACCCACGAATCTCAATGCTGCTGCTGCTGCTGCTGCACACACACACACACACACACACACACACACACACACACACACACACACACACACACACACACACACACACACTCACACACAGAGACACGTGCAGTGACACATGCACATCTTCTCAGTCATAAATCTTGTCTACCGCAATGATTTAACCAAGATTGTTAACACGATAACATGTTGTGAGAGAGAAAACCACAAACAACCCCGCCAACTTCACTACAAAACGATAAAAGGATGAGAGAGGAGGACGAAAAATTAAATAAAGCAAACTCGAAATGCACGGAGGGGAATTGTAGAGCAAATGAAACACTTTCCGAGGATAAGAAAAGGGTCACTTCGGACTACTGGGATTACAGATCAGGTTTAAAATTCATTCATCCTTTAAGCATGCCTGCACACACACACACACACACACACACACACACACACACACACACACACACACACACACACACACACACACACACACACACACCTGATCATTACATATCTCCCTCTCCCTGCCCACTTTCTGACTCCCTGGTGTTGAGCCAGGACCGCCCCTCACCACCACCATCTCCAGCCTGTGATTCCATGACACGTCAACTGGACTCGGCTGCAGCATGACTGGAAGAATCGGCCTCGGAGCGTCTTATTGAAAAGCATACATCAGAGGAAAAGTCATCATCTGTGTCTGTCAGCTGCACTCATCCCAACATCCATACAGCTAATGGCGGAGACAGACGCCTGATATTGCTTTTGGATTTCAGAGAAGACGCATCCACACAAAGGCAGACCCATTAATATAGCTCGCAGTGTTTCAGACGCTGCACTGCAGAAATGAAATGCGCCGAAACGAGTGGAAATAAATAAAACAGCAAGACACCAAAGTCATAAATATACACATTTGTACAAATTACTGTAACTATTTGGTTTGTGGGAGCATGATCGTGTTGGTTTTGGTTTCTTCTTCTACTACATGCACGGTTTTAGCCAAGTGTTCACCCAAAGAGGGGTCCCTCCGACCGAGAGGCATGGCAGCGAGTTCCCCCCACCGTGCCAGTGCCCGAGCTCGGAGGGGTGGGAGTCAAGGAGGAAAACGTGCAAAGATGCAGAGAATGAAGTGGAAAGAATGAGATGCACGGCGAGAGGAGAAGAAGGGGTTATGACAGCCAGAGGCGCTGTCTCCCTGTTCTCCGTTACCCCCCACCCCCCCCCCCCCACTCCATCCAAAGCATAAAACAAGCCAATCTGTGATGACTGCAACCGCCTTCATCTAGTTTACCCGACTGGACGCGCTGATCCCACTCATACAGTCAAACGGCAGCTGAATTTCATGAATATACCTGTCATCAAATCTTATTATAGACCAACCGGCGAACAGCCTCCTGTTCTGTTGCTGTGCAGAATCGATGGCTGCTGCATAAACTGCAGTCACATAAACAACAGTTTTTCAGCTTTTTTTGCTACGAACAAAAATAATCGTGCAACAGATTTTTCACCAAGTGAGCAACACTAAAGCTGCAGAAAAAGCTTTTTTGGGGGATTAAAACTAAAAATGTTTTTCCAAATTTCACACAAACCTAAAACCATAAATATTAGTGTGTTTAAAAAAGATAAAAATGAAAACAAATAATTCTATTTTCCTCCAAAGTTTAAGTGGAATGAGGATATTTAAATGTAAATATAAATATAAAATATGTAAATCAAGATGTACATTTGTAAAAGCAGGTCTGTTTACTTATTTATTTTTTGACTTGGGTAGATATTTAGACTTCCTGTGATTTTGTTTTCAGGTTGCAGTGAAAATGAGTCAGAGATGAGCTTTAAAAACTAAAGCTAGGACCACTAAACACCTGCCTACTCCTTGCTTTAAACAATACGCAGAAATAAAGTCACATAGCTCGTTTTTCCTGGAGCTGTTATAATTAAACATAAATATGACAATGAGGCAAGACAGGAAAAGCAGACATGGTGAGGTGACAGTAAACATTTCTGCTGTCATTGCTTTGTAACAGAGGAGGTAGAGAGGGAGGAGGAGGAGGAGGAGGAGGAGGAGTGTTACTGTCAGATAGTGGAGGGAGGAAGATGTGTGTGTGTGTGTGTGTGTGTGTGTGTGTGTGTGTGTGTGTGTGTGTGTGTGTGTGTGTGTGTGTGTGTGTGTGTGTGTGTGTGTGTGTGTGTGTGTGTGTGTGTGTGTGTGTGTGTGTGTGTGTGTGTGTGTGTGTGTGTGTGTGTTTGGCCTTCCTGTCCAAAAGGACACCTGGAAGTTTCTGAAGAGAATCTGAACTAACCAAAATTACTGATGCAGTAAACAAACTTGATGGGATGCCAAAATAAATAAATAAAAACCAAGTAAAACATATGAGGAATAATAATTTTTTGAGAAAAATTCAGTAAAAAAAATACTAGTTTCTGCTTTTTTTTAATCCCAGTCCCACTGTTTTATCTCTCTGGTATGAAAAGTAGGGATGTGTTTACCTGACCTCTTCCTTTTATGGCCCATGGCCATCTGACCTCTCTGCCACCCCCACCCGCCTCCATCCCCCATCCTCCCCCCCTGTTAGATGAGTCTCAACTCTAATGTTTAATTTCATCAAAGCTGCTGTTTTCGTTTTCTCTCATCTTTAAATAAAGCCAATGTCCTAATCCTGCAGATGCTGACATCCGTAAATCGTGTGTGTGTGTGTATGTGTGTGTGTGTGTGTGTGTGTGTGTGTGTGTGTGTGTGTGTGTGTGTGTGTGTGTGTGTGTGTGTGTGTGTGTCCACAGAACAGAAAAATCATACCAACAACCATCAGCCCCCTTCTTTTCTTCCCTTTCTCTCCCCCACCAGACTCTCTCTCCCCCATTATCCCTCGGCTGTTTGTGAGGGGGTTTCCTCTCTCTCTTTTTTATCTCTGCACTCACTCCATGACCCCTGTTCCCCTCTGGTTCTCGCTGTCTGACCTACCCCCCTCCACACACCGACACACACACACACACCCTCCTCCTCTGCTTTCCCTCTAACGCTACACATATTCTATCATTGCCTCAGCTCGCTCCCAAAACCTTTTTTCCTCTCCTTTCTCGTATATTCACGTTTTTTTATTATATTATTTAAAGGCGTTTATCCGAAAATTCACTTTGTATCACAATTTTGCCTTTTTTTGTTATTTATTCTCACTTAAACCCTATAATATAGTTTATAACCCTATATTCGTCTCTGGTCAGATGAATCCAGCTGCAACACGATCAAATCCAGCTGGTAATCTAACAATAAACAGTTAAGAAATGTCGTTTTGGTTAGGTGTTAATTACTATATTAAAATTAGCTCCAGGTTGATATTTTTGATCAATTCTGGCCTTTTTCCTTCATCCAAATGTGAGCAACAACTAGGAAAGAGAACACAGACGAAGATCTACTTTGGATCCAAGTTTCCGGCCGAAACTTCGCAATAATCGTTAAATGTTAGGTTGTATTCCCGGTCAAAGACTCTCTGGGAAAAGGAAAGAGGATACGATGCAGTCTTGGAAGTGGGACTCTGTGGTTGGAGGCAGCAGAGCCACCCTGTGAGTCCTCCTCAGACCACATGGCTGATGCGCGTAACGCAGCTCACGCGCTCAGGTTGTCGGTGTGCAGAGTTCGGCTGATCCGCTCCTGTCAGGAACGAGACCCGGGGCTCCGATTTTCCTCCACACCACATTCACATCACACACACACGTGCACGACAAGAAGCCCCTCGTGCACGCTCTCACACACTCCCACACTTGCCTATCGATTTGCATGTGACTTCATCAGTAAAAGAGCGAGAACCGAGTTCCAAAAACAAGAGTGAAAAGAGGCAAACGGGTATGAAAAATCAAAAAGAAAAGATGGACAAACAAAGTGGGGGTAAAGAGTAGCAGAAGGAACGGAGGCAGGGCGGAGGGATCGCACATTTCACACACAGAGAGAGACGATCGGAGAACAAAACTGCCCCCATCCAGAAGAGGATTTTTGGTTTTTATTACCGTGGTTAACACACGGCGGTGACGAAGCCCCTTTTTGGATGTGGCGAGTGTCAAATCTGTGAAAAAAGCCCAAAAAACCAGAAAGCGAGAGGCGCTCCCCTCGCCTCCCCGGACTCTCACGGACCTACAGGCTGGACTTGGAGCACCCTTTCCGGGCTGCGCTCATGTGGAGCCGCCGCTGCTCTCCGTCCGCTCACCGCAGCGTTTCCTCCCAACATTTGTGCCTAAAAACACGTTTCTCAACAACCACAGCCCCGGTCACAGATCCCCCCCGGTCCCACCGAAAAGCACATATCTGTCTGAAAACCGTGCTGCTGCTTTTTTTCCTCCAACGATCAGCACGCTCGGAGTGGATCGCCTGTCTCTGTTTCTTATCTGTGAGGACGAGAGGACGGACGCTCGTGTAAACACAGGTAACGATACAAAAAAAAAAGGGATAAAAACAGAAAAACTATCTTGCATGAAATGAACTTGTGGTGTCGAGGCAGCAGCTCGCATCGGGGGAGCAGCTCCGCTCCGCGTAATCCGCGGACGGACAGATTCAGAGAAAGAGCAGGATCGGTGCAAACAAGAGAGGAAAAGAGATAAACGCAAAGTTCAAACTTACTATTTCTCGCTGCCGCTTTGTGATCCTCGCTTTTTAATCCAGTATCGAGACGATTTAGCTAAAGATCCCATCAAGGCAGTCTCCTTTTGGTCAGTTTGCGTTTAGGGTGGCAAAAGAAAGATCATTGTTGTTGCGGAGCGTAAAAAACCCGAAGTAGGTAGGCTACTATTAGTTGTTAAAGGCAATATAAAAATAATTTGGATGCAAAGCAGGCGATGAGTCTTGTGTTAGAGGGAGCGAGGAAGAGGTGAAAGTGAGATCTGATGATTGAAAAGAAAAAACTCTTTGGATCTTTATTCCTGCTAATTAGTTTCCTGCAAAAAATGGCTGTGATTAATTCAGTGCGCATGTGCTTCATTACACAGGCACGAAGGGAAGGGCTAATTAGCCGCCTTCTGGATCAATAAGATTCAGCAAAGGAGAGCTCGGGAGAGAGAGGGAGGGAGGGAGGAAGAGGGAGGGAGGGAGGAAGAGGGATGGATGGATAGATACAAGTAGAAAAAAGAGGAAAGTAGTGATCAGGAATTGAAAATATGGAATTACGAACAGCGGAAAGTAAGAGTTTGATTAGACGGAAGACAGTGAAAGTTAACGCTGGAGAAGCCGCAGCGCGCTGCAGGCGCAGCTTTTTCCGCAGCTCTTTTTTTTTTTATTTAAAAAGCGCTTTTTTGTTTTTCTTTTATTTTCTACATTAAATTATATACATGCATACTAAAGCGCGCGCGCCATTACGCTTTATTCTATTCCTTTTATCTTAAAAAATAAAAACACTTTCTAGCACATTTTGTCCAAGGCTGACTTTAGAAAATGCACCTTTTAACAACTTTTCCCACAAATCTCTGAACCAGCTTCGGAGGCTGGAAGAGCATCACTGAGATATGTGATCTAATAAACAAAAACAGCAAATGTGTCCTGAAAATCCAAACACGGTTAAAGCCGTTCAGCACGTAGACGCGGACAGTAAACCATCGCGATTATGCTCGCTGTTGTAATCTGCAAAAACCGGAGATTATCCTAACTACAGAGGCACCTGCATATTATCACAGCTAAGTGTGTGTTTGCACCGGTAAATATATATTTTAGGCATTAAGTGGAACACCGCATGCTCGGAGACGACACCAAAATAAAAATCTGAACTTTAACACTTCGACGAACTTCATAATTCAACATGTCTGATGCATTTAGGAAAAGATAATCTGGATTATTCCATGTTCAGGCGGCGTGAACTGTAATTCTAATGATATGATTTATGTTTTATAAACAGAAAATGTTTTTAGTTCGTCTCTCTCTCTCTCACACACACACACACACAGCACACACACACACATCTGGATTTATTCACTCTGGTTAAAATAGTCAAATGACGTGATTTTAAGCTTTATAAAATAAAATTATGAAGGGAAATGAGGAAGCTGACGCGTGTTTTAGTTTCCTTCAGCTCTGATGCATTTATTGATGCAACATTTTTAAAAGTAGTAGTTTCACACACGTGTGAAGGAATGTGCTAAGATTAAGAACGTTTTTATTTAAAATTTATTTTAAATAATAATAGAAGAAGGCTGTAGTTCAGATGAATCAAATCTGATTATTTTTAGAAACGCAGCTGATGTTTCACCGCAATCTGCGACTGGATTATTATTTTATTTTCCAGTTTTATCAAATGTGTACTTTTAGAAAACATTAAGTTTTATAAACAAATAAAATCCACAACTGAGGGATGACGAGCATGCATCGTGACATTTGATATAGAAAGTTGTTGGAACGTGTCATATTATATTATTGCTACCGTTATGAATAACAATATGTCGCTAAAAATCGCGACACAGTCCCAGAATGGCGCGTGTTTGGTAGATTATGGATCTATTGATCAGCTGATTTCTAGAAAATGTGAACACAGATTCATGGACGTTTTCTGTTTATTTATTCTAATAATTTGTCTCCTAAAATCCCAGTCCCCTCTCTGTGACGCCTCTTCTGAATGCAAAAACAAAATTACTGCAAAAACCAACATTAGAGCCTCTCGGTGCTCCTTGTTCACCCAATCGTCCTGTTGATGCTCAGAAGGGACGGACTCAGTGAGCACACCTTCTGTGCAAACAGCTCCATATAGAGTCCTGCAGCAGCAGCAGAGGCTTCCTCTGATCGCGTCAGGCTGATTGAATTGAAACAGCGCGGGTTTGGTGTCGTCTGCGTCACCGTGCCGAATTCCGACGCAGACATTCAGAGATGAAGAACGGAGCCGAACCTCCAGAGCTGATCATCCCACCGAACCTACACACAATCATTTATTCACTAGAAATCCGCTGGTGTGTGTGTGTGTGTGTGTGTGTGTGTGTGTGTGTGTGTGTGTGTGTGTGTGTGTGTGTGTGTGTGTGTGTGTGTGTGTGTGTGTGTGTGTGTGTGTGTGTGTGTGTGTGTGTGTTATTATTATTGTAAGATAGCTTGGAAGACCTGGCTGATGTTGCGGTGGAGAGGACGGCTGATGAAATAAATAGACCATATTTTATGTTCTCCGAGGGCCTTTGACTTAAAGGTTAGAGAGGTTATGGAGCCCCCGTGGGACGCGGCGCGTCTACAGATCCAATAGCACATATTCCTTTGAAGAGCCTCTGAGAATCAAACTTCTTACACTGTAGCCTATATGAACCCGGCTCCTCCATCCCTCCTCTCCTTCACTGTCCTCTCCCTCTCCCTGCTGGTAAACTATATGGTGAACCAGGAACGCAGCGGCTCCTCGGCAGCGACAGACACTGACAGCATGGTTTTAAGTAACGCACCACCTTGCTTTACCCCCCCCCCCCCCCCAACACCCCTTTCAGTAAAATAAAACAAAATAAATTAATAAATGAATCCACCTGCTCACAGTCTCTCCTTCTCTTTCCTCCTCAGTCTGCGAGACAGACAGACTGCAGGAATCTCGAGGATTTGCGACGTGCCTGCTCTCTCGGGAAAGGAGAGATTGTAAAAATGAATAGGTTGAAAATAGCGTGCCAGAGGAGTTTAAAAGGGGGGCTGCGAGATAATAAAAGAGTCCGGGTGTAATTTGAGGCTTGCATGGAAAGGCAGCTTTCAGCCAGCCGGTCGCCCCGCAGAAACCAGCAACAATGCAAACTTCAGTTTACAAATTAATGCAAAGGCTCTGATTGACACTGCTCCATCAGCGGTCACAGTGAGCATCTAGTGGAGGCTAAATCAAAGGAGGACCTGCCAGACGGAGGCCTTGATGCTTTTAGGGCCTCTGCACCAGTGGAAAAAAGGGGGGGTCACAGGGTCTGGGGCTTTTGTGTTCCCATGCATTCATTCGCGCCTCTCAGTGGGGAGGATAACTGTCCACGTGCCAGCCTCAATAGGCACACATCGATGAGTGGCATTGCAAATTCAACACAACCTGTTGGCTATGACAGCTCGGAGGTGACAAAGGAAGTGGAGAAAAAGGAAGGAAAGGAAGACGGGGTGCACCCTGGATGTGCATGAGGGCGCACGCGGCAGTAGTCATCATCACCAGCAGAAACAAAACAAGGCATAATGGTTATATGAATCTTTTCAAAGTAAATGACAAGTTATCCTCTGTGATCCACCAGTATGCGCAGAAAGTGCGCAAAGGTAAAATAAGAGGAAATGCGCAAAGGGGTGATTAAAAATAAAAAAGAGCAGCTGTGCAGAAAAGTCACAACACTAACATCTTATTTCACTTTAATAATTAGGACGCAAGATAAACAATTTAATTTAATAACATTTATAATAAATGATTTATTAAAAATATGTCCAAGTCCGAGCTCGTTTTGATCCATTGTGTGTGCGTGTGTGTGTGTGTGTGTGTGTGTGTGTGTGTGTGTGTGTGTGTGTGTGTGTGTGTGTGTGTGTGTGTGTGTGTGTGTGTGTGTGTGTGTGTGTGTGTGTGTGTGTGTTCATCCCACACCAGGAGTCGGGTGTCCGGCTCTGCCTGTGTCTAGGGTGGATAGGGCAGCACAGCCAGGTGCAATGGGAGCGCCCTCTTATGTTCAGCCTGACCGCCGGGATCAAGCTGCAGCGCCTGCGGATGCGCCGCTCTCCTCTTCCTCTCCAGATCAGACTTTCAAAAAAATATCGAAATCAAGTCAGGAGTGGGCAGTTTTATACGCTAGAAATTTAATCACGTGTCTAAACGTTTAAATGTTTTAATTCAAATCCTCTCAACTTTTAAAAGTGACAGAAAAAGACGTTTGATGTGAGGAAAAGCAAACGTGCGTCACAGATCAGACTTGAACTTGACATTATATAGCAGGACGTTCTGCATACATGTTGCATAAATTATAAGAATATTATCTTGATATTTTCTATAAAAAAATTAAAAAAACATGTTTTAATGCTTTTTGTGTCTACATAATAAAAAATGTCTTATTTTAAATATTTTACTTCACCCTTTTTTCCCTTAACCCTTTCTCCAAAATATTCCAGTCCTCTGTGTTTTTTCATCTTTTTTAAGTCCTCGTGTCACGTTCGCTTCACGGAAAATGTTTTTGAATGAAAATGCATCTCAATGTAGTAAATATTTAGTTTGCCCAAATGCAGAGCAGGGAATTTCCGTTATTTTTGCAGCATCTTTGTCATATTTTTGCAGGATTCGACCACATGTTACATCATTCTGCAGGATTTTTCTGTTACAAATTCAGAGCATCCTTACTGTAAAACCCACTCTCACTGTTTTCCAACTCGTGTCTTTTCTGTTTTTTATGCTGAATATTTTTGTCTACGTTTGAAGATGAAAACCCCCTTTTGTCTGTAAGAAATCTTATTATTTTTGCAGTGAAATGCGTTTTATTTGTCTGGATTTTATGATTTACATTTATTTGAACACGTTGTACAAAAATATTCGTTTATTTATCTAAATAAAGATGCACCACCTCATTGTTTGTTTCTCGTCTTTTCCTGATCTTAATATTTGTTACAAAATTGTAATTCATTTCAAATTCAAAAATACTTTATGAATCCCAGAGGGAAATTAGTTTCAGAACACACAATTCTGAGATCAGACATATATACATAGACACATGACAAGAACTGGTGACTGTGGTCATTCGCAACCCGACTCGCGCTACCGTAATAGATCCAGAGGGTTTATATGAGGATAGAGTCAGGGGGAAGGAAAAAAGGCACTTCAGAGTTACTTTCAACAGAGATGGTAGCTTTGCTATGCAAAAAAACGTATCTGACACCTTATTTTGGAATGAAACTTTAGTTTTAGATAATAAAGAACGAAAAAAACGCGCAGCTCATAGCTTTTATCGCGTGACGTTTGGATTTTGGCGTTTTGGAGAAGGAGCGGCTGTCTGGTCAGTCTGCCTCATTTCCATGAGAAACAAGAAGACACGTCACTTCCTCTCTCCTCCATTCACCCGACCTGCCACGTCTACCTTATTAATGAACCTATGCATTATTCAAAAACAGTTTTTACATCTAAGATTTTAGGTAAAGAAGAAGAGTTGCGTAACGTTCTAATTATTACCATTAATATCCGGAAAATGTGCCGAAGATGCCCGATGTTTGAATGAGGCAGTTTTATTTTTGACCACAACGAATTATTTGAATCAGAAATCAGAAAGAGAGAGAGAGAGAGAGAGAGATAGTTAGATAGATAGATAGATAGATAGAGAGAGAGAGAGAGAGAGAGAGAGAGAGAGAGAGAGAGAGAGAGAAGGCAGTGCCTCCATCTGTCAGTTCTCCTATACATGTGTGCGCGCGCGTTTGCAAAAAATGAATGTAATGTGAGATATGTAAGACAGTCACATCATTTCCATTTATTATAATAAAAATATACTTTTTACGTTATTATTATTATTATTATTATTATTATTATTATTATTATTATTATTATTATTATTATTATTATTATTTTGTGCCTATGAGTGCAGATGATCAGAACTGTCTCATCACGTCATCAGGTTCAAATCAGAACATTTTGGTAAAAAATAAAATAAAATTAAAACTTTTAATCTATGTTTTCAATTAATAATGAACATTTTACTTAACTGGTAATAAAAACATTTGTTTGATTATGAATTTCTTTGTCAGCTTGCCTGCTGCTAACTGGTCAGATCTCGTACCTTGCAGGTGCAGGCTGCACAGTCACAACAAACAGCCACATAAACGGAGCAAAAACACTAAATAATTAGTGATTATTAAAAAGATGAAAGTGAGGCTTTTATTTAAGATGGAATTTAACAAGATTATTAGATTTCAGCAGAAATTTCCCCCAGATTTTCTGCTGAATAACAGATGCTTGAATCATTTTGAAGCAAATGCAGGGTGTGCCTGTGTGTGTGTGTGTGTGTGTGTGTGTGTGTGTGTGTGTGTGTGTGTGTGTGTGTGTGTGTGTGTGTGTGTGTGTGTGTGTGTGTGTGTGTGTGTGTGTGTGTGAGAGAGAGCTGAAGAAAGAAGCAAGCAGAGATCAGGCCTGCGAATAACACACTTCAGGTTGGTGAGATGGTGAATCCGGAAAGCTGCTGTCACAGACTCCGGGTGAGAGACAGGCGGGACTCGTGGGGTTTTACGCGCTTTAGAGGCTCACTGAAACAGAGGGATCCCAAATCAGAGCCATATGACTACTTCAGGCAACAGCTACACGCTCGCTGGTGGTGGACCTATCCAAACATGAGGGAGGGGAGGGGGATCGCGGATCCCTACAGAGCCAAGCCCGTTTTAATGCCACTTTGAGCCTGCTGCATATGCACTTAAACGTCACAAACTTTCCTGATGTCAGGAGGAGCTCCTAAGAACACGACAAGATGAAAGATGACAGGAGGAAGCAACACAGGCAGATCTCAGATCCACCGCTGGGGTCAAACACAAATCTCGCTGCCTCTGGATCACATCAGCTGTCTTGTTCGGGACAAACAAGATATAATATCTATAATAAATGATTAAAAAAACAAGTTCAAACGAACTATAACAAAAAAAGCTGTGAATGATGAGGTCAGATTTAGATTTTTGCTGCCACATTAAGGAGCTTTGCAGTGACACAGACCATTCACTACATTCATGCAGAGATGCATTCATTCAGATGAGTGAGAGAAACGCAGACAGACATGACAAAATCCCTTATTTGAAGCAATAAATGATGAAACTATTAAATTGTGACGAAGAGGGATGGTAAACCCCCGTGAGCTCCAAAATCTTCTAAACTCTGTCCCCGATAGTCCCTGTGAATTACAAGGTCAAAGGTCATAGAACTACACCGGCTTTAGCCTCGAGCCCCCCCACAAAGCCTCAAAGTGTTGCCAGAGCCAATAAAACCAGGAGGCTAGAAGAGCCGTTGCTTTTTTTAGGTGTTAGCTTGTTAAAGAAGTTAACAGTAAATGTGTTTACTTTTGCATGACAGGTACAACAGCAGTGGCGGAGCGGAGATCAGACAGCCAGAGGTCTGTCCAGTCCATAAGGAGCTATAGCTACCCTGCTGGCTCCATACCTTAGTGCATCAACAGAAACTGAAGTCACAGACGTCTCATTAAAATATGCTTTAAGTAGAAACACACCTTAATGAGCAGAGCTGCTCAAGGCAACTACTGGAAAAATACTCAAAATTGGACAATGCATGCTAAAGCGGCTCAGAATTCCTGGTTCAGAATGGAATTAAGCAAATAAAATATGCATTTATATGTGAGATTTTTGGTTCTAAAGACACAAACCAAAGGCATGAAGAGTTGTTTCTGATAAGCACACCGATGGTGACGATGGGAACAAACGGTTTAAAATTTAAACTAAAACAGTTGCGTTTTCCACCAAGTCTGTCGTTTTGCTGCTTTCACAGAAAACCACACGCTAACACGAAAAGCTGATTTTTATCGTTATTTCCAGAAGGTCACACCTTCCCTGAGGTCAAGCGACCAGCAGAGGTTTGATATTCTACTCTGACAGCTGACAGGATCAAATGTGTGCATTAAACCACTTTAGTTCCCCCCACGAGTCAACCGCGAAAGGCTCGGCTCAGCTCCTCACACATCGTTAAATTGTTTCATAAATAAAAATGCAACTAATTCATGGAGGGTTCTTCTGCAGGGGCCAGCCTTCCTGAAGACGTCTGGGCTCCTCAGGCTCGGCCCTAATGAGCAACTTATTAAAACAATTAAGCTTAGCAGAGTCTGAAAAATCAACTTTCAATTGAATTATAAGTTTGTTGCATTATCCAAACTAATTATTGACCAACGATTTGTGTACTTTTCATTTTTAGCCGGTCTGCTTGCTTTTCCACTAAAATCAACAATTTTGACAGAAAAGATAAAAAAAAACTTCTGTGTTATGTTGAAAACCTGTGTGGTTGTGTGTGTGTGTGTGTGTGTGTGTGTGTGTGTGTGTGTGTGTGTGTGTGTGTGTGTGTGTGTGTGTGTGTGTGTGTGTGTGTGTGTGAATACATAGGGAAAGAGGCCAAACAAGTGGATTCAACGTGTTCTCTTCAGAATTGCAGATGTGTTTCGTCGGCCCTGCCGTCCAATTACAAATATCTCTCTTCCATGAAATCATGCATGTCTTCTTTTTTTAAAAACGAGGAGGGCTGACACAAAAGGAGCAGCCTTGACTGCAGAAGAACAGATGAAAAATAAGGTCAAGTGTCGAAGCCCCGGAGCCCTGAGAGGGGAGCACAGCTCCTTCAGCATGCAGACCAGGGAGCATAGCTCCTGTCTGCAGACTGAAACCCCTCCTAACTCCCTACTGCTGCTGCATCAGCGGACCCTCTGGGTCCTAATTCAGAACTGACGGAAATCACTTCGCAGCTCAGCTCACGCCCTTCATCATTTCCACTTTGATTAATATTGTTTCAGAATCTAAAACAATGTTTAAGATGAGAAAAGAAACGAGCTGTTTGTCTACTTGATCTCTTTTTTTTGCTCATTTCTAAATCCAAACAGCAACTCATCAAGACTCTGAGATAAGATATTTTAAGAATGATTTCCTGGATCCCATTTTATTATTTTACATAGTTTGACAGTGAAAGTTTATGCTTGAAGCTGTTAAATTTGGAAAACATCTGTTCATGCCTCATAACGACCTTCTAACACAGTATAGCTATATATATAATTATATAAAATATAAATGAATTAATAAAGTGGCTCTCCAGCTCAGTGGCGTAGCAGTACAAGTGTCCACCCTGAGACTGGGAGATCGTGGTTTCATATCCACGATTGGATCATCCCAAAGACTCTAAAACTGGGACTCATGGCTTGCTGCTTGGCACTCCGCATCATGGGATTCAGCTGGAGGGTTAGACCACCAAATGGTTCCCGAGCACAACCGTGTCTGCAGCTCACTGCTCCCCCAGGGGGTGGGTCAGACTCAGAGAACAAACTTCACCACACATCAGTGTGCGTGACGACTAATAGGACTAGTTTAACTTTAACTCTTGCATTTGTCTAAAAATATCCATCAAATACACTATCCATCACCAAAAGCAACCATAAGATCATCCAGTTGTTGGTCTTGCCGAGCCCCTGGACCTAGAAAACAATGACTGGTGTTTAGCGCTCTCTTATTTCCTCTGGCATTGTGGGTTTCTGGTTCTGGCAAAAGCGTCTCAGCAATGATATCCGAGGGGAGGGGTGAGTGTTCCGTTAGCGTGTTTGTTACCTAGCTTGTTGTGTAGATTTGCTATAACAGCTTTAAATCACCACAAGTAGAACATAATTATTTTGCAACAAAACCTGAATGAAAATGTGTTTCTGTTTTTTTTATAAACTAAAATAAAACTGTGCTCCTATTTGCTCCATTATGCTTGTGATACCACCTTCAACCGCTAACTGTTCATCATCTCTCACTTCAATAAAGCAGCAACCAAACATGTTGACTTTTACTTTATTTAGGGACTTTTTGGTCTGAAGTGATCAGAACCAGGATCCAGCTGACATTCCAGCTGCAAC